TGATAGGCTGATTAATCGGACTGATCTCTGGCATTTTGAGATAATTGGCCAATACGTCATCTTAGATAACAGCAGATCTAATCTGAAACCATTAATAGCTAGTGTTAAATATACACTCTCCAGCCACTTGCTATGCCAGGTTGGACCCCCTTTTGAGTGTATATTGTTGTAGAGGGAATAATTATAGAGAATAATGCAGCTGAATGACATGTATATTAGATTGTACTCTGCATGAAATAGTGGAACTTTACATGACTTTTCTTATTATATCAGCCACCCTGCTCTCTAAAAATCTGCAGTGGCCATTGAAAAACCCAAATGGACCACGCTATACGTTAGCTAGCACTTTGCTGACATTTGCTATTTTAATATTTGACTAAATCAATTTCCTTGAAGACTCCTTGCATTGTTATAGGTATCAAGTGTCTCCTTCTTAACCATCTTCAAGATGTGTTTTCCCTTTCAACCATAGACTATATATAAGGAGTGGGCGTAGTCATCGTGACGTCACCTGTTGGTTTGTGGACTGCTGTTTTGAAGCCTCGAGTTTGGCCGATAGGGCGCCGCCATGTTGAGGGTCTCTCTTATCCACGGCTCCATTACAACCCCTAATTTCCTCTAAATGGGACCATAATTTACTAAATGAACATAATTTTCTATTGAAGACATGAAACTAGTGATTCAGACCATAAACTCATTATGAAATTGTTTACTGGGGCAATTATTCAGCTGAGAGAACTCCTGACTGATTGAGGAATCTTCTCTGCGGGAAAAGCCGGCAACAATCCTGCTTCCAGCCCATGATCATGTTTTGATTCAGATTGTACATGAAGAGGAGGAGCTGTTGCAGTCCATGTGTTTGTGAGAGAGGGTTGAGCGAGAGGAGGGGCTGAGTCAGTCTTTGCGCGCAGATTCACAATTTTTAAATGGTAAAAAATTGCAAATCAATATGTGGCGGTCAGCATTGGTAATTTGGCAGGACGCCCAAAAAAATCCATGTATAGGAAACACTACATAGCATATCTAAGAACAGGAAGGGGGAAAGTTGACCGAGGATCTGCCGGGTACCGAGGTAGATTTGTCACATTACAGCAGGTTGTTACAGCAACTATCCTCAATGGAACAGTGCTGAGGATGGATTTGAGTTTAAGAGTGTGATAGCTTTGGGGGGGGGGAAGCTGCTCTGCAGTCTGGTGTGGCAGCAGAAACTTATACACTGTACCTCTTCCCAGAATGCAGCAGGGTGAACAGGCTGTGGGTGGGTGGGTGGGTGCTGTCCTTTAGTATCCTTTGGCCTCTGCAGGCACCTCAGCAATATCACTTAAACTGCTCAGAAGATCATTGGTACCCATCTCCCGAGCATCAATCACCTGCTGCAGAGCCCTCCAGTCCTGGGCCGTGCACATCCCATGCCAGTTTGTGACGTTCCCAGTGCTTTCCATTGCTCCTCTGTAAAAGCTGACAAGAACTTGGCGTGGGAATTGACCCTTTGCTAAGCCACGCCCCAAATACACAGCTGGCCAATCACAGCTCAGTATAGGACTTGCTCTAACTGAGGTCCGACAATTTCGTGGCTGCGCTCCGTTAACTCTAATGCAAAAAGTCATTTTCTAGCTTTTATTTATTTTTTTGGCGGTATTTTTCTTAGATATGGTCAAACGCTGTTCCTGGGGCTCTTGTAATAATTACAGCAGCTACCCAGAGAAGTTGATAGATGTACGATTTTATTCTCTTTTCAAAACCTAAAATAAAACCAGGACTCTAGGACTTAGCAACAGTAACTAAGGGGGGCGGGCTTAGCAAAGGGTCAATTTGGCCTTCTTAAGCTTCCTCAAAGTTTTTTTTTTTTTTTTTTTTTTCTGAACTTTCTTCACGAGCGTGGAGATGTGAGTTGAATCAACAAAGCTTGCTCAACTGTTATTGGAGCGCAGAGCAAAAGGAGGCGGGATGTAGGATTGGTCAGTTGAGGTTCCATCCATGTGTTCGGTGTTTTAGTTTTTTGCAAATATATCTAAAGGCCAGTGACAATGTGAAGCTGTGCTTTTTTTTTTTTCTATTTTTTTTTTTCTCTATCAATGATCGTTAGGCAGATATGCTCCAAGTTATCAATCAACACCAGTAACTTTAAAACTTGGCATTTCACCGGTCTAATCTTTAAGGTGGCATTTGTGTTACTTTGGTTTTCTGATCCACATGTACCGTGCAGGATTTTTGTTGGGTTGCTGTGTAAATGAAGCCAGGGTGGGATCCAACAAGGTTCACTGGCCAGACTGGAACTACGTAGTCATGTAGTAGTGTGTCTGGTTTGTAGACCACCCCCAGCTATTTATTTTCTTAATATTTATATCCGTTTACACATTTCTGGTGGAGTAGTGGCAAAACTTAGCAGATGGACTTTCTTTAGTGTTATCCCAGGGTTCCCCCACAGCCTCATGATATTTACAGCTCTTTCCCCTCAGTTTTTAATATGCTCGGTTTTTACAGTGCATAACCATAGGCGGGTGGAAAGCTACGTAATTTAAGTAGTTGGTGAATAACTGACTTACTGCTTACACCTGCTCTCTGACCAGAGCTGTCACTGCCAGTTAAGAGAACTGGTGCTGACAGTCTAGTCACTGTCACTGAGGTACATTCCTCATTCAGAGGTTCCCTAGAAAAGGCTGTAGGTTCATTGTTCTCAGGAGCTGAACGTTGCAATATTTGCTGCTTGTCAGTGCCCTGCGGGCCCAGGCTGTACTTCTTACTCAACGATCTAGTTTGCCCAGGCTGCTCTCCAAGGTAGTAACGACGTGACGCAGCTGCATTTGTACCGCAGCTGTGTGGCACAAATGTGAGGTTTGTGTGTGTGGGGGGTGGGGCAGTGACATAAGCAGCCTTACTGCCGTTGGCGGTGTTGTCTCCCACAGCCTGTGATTTTCTGTTTGCCAAGGGACAAGGAAGTGGGGCCAATGTTCAAACAACCTAAATCCATGTTACCCTGCAGCTTTCCTGCACCTAGCAAGTACTTCTTCCTGTCAGTCTGAACCATTTCTTCTTCCAAAATGTAGCATTGTGAGGTTTCAGGTCAAATGAATACATACATCTGCTGTATTTCAATAGACAAATTACAGAAATGTCTTAATATCTACTGGATGTTGCTTTGTTTTGTGATAGTCCCCCTATAATTTCCAAAAAACAGAATCTCTCCCTGTTAGGACTTTCACTCCAGTACTCGTACAGTACCAACAAATAAAAGGTGTTTCTTCCAAATTGCTAACAAGTTAATAATAAAATATGGTAAATGAATGCTAAATGTCTCTTTTCATTTCTCTTCTTCTAGGTTTGAGTGGGACAAACTTTTGGAGAATGTGCATTGTTTGATCATAAGTGTGACAAAGTCTGACAAGCAGGAAGCTTATATACTCAGGTGAGTGCTGTGAAATCACATACTAACTAATGCTGCCTAGTACATGCTCAATCAGTAGGTTCTGTATACTAATGAACGATTTAAGTATGCTATTTCCAGCAGACTGTTCACACTGAAGTATACTCAAGTAAGAGTCATGTGACTGCATCGGATGATCGCCATTGCAGTCTGAAGAGGCTCAGTGCATTTTGGGGCGGTTGAGTATGTCCAGTAAGATCACGGTTCTTGCTCAGAAATTCTACACAAAATCCACATACTTCTATACTAATACTCAATTTGCACTAACCGTACCGGCCAGGTATATTAGCACCTGCCAAAGTATATTTGGAAACCCACTTTAGCATGCAGAGAAACACACAGATGTTGTATATTACATTAAGTGGACATGGTGGAAATTTTATATTACGGAGCAACAGTGAACGACCACTACAGATGTCACTCACTAACATTAGTTTCGGTGTCGACCCACATTCGTCAAAAATGGTAAAAACACTAAGGTGGAAAATGAGCTAGAATAACCTACTGTCAAAGCAAATGGGCTATGATATAGGCCTACACCGCTACCGTCCCCACTGGCCGCCGCAGTTACACTGTATTAATCAGTAATCTGTCATCTATTAACAGTCCGGGGAGCTGGTGCGTCGCGGTTCTGTCTCTCGGATCGATTTTGGTTTCTGTTTCAGAACCGTTACAGCCCTGATACATAGTATGCTCTGTTTTCCTGCTGATTAGACGGCAGGCAGGATTAGACACCTGTAAGCCGCTTGCCGTTGACATCACAGTCTGTCTCAGGTGAAGAGAGCCATGGGCACATGCATTACATTCTGCATAGTCTTCATTGTTTTATTTATTGTATAACCAAGGGGGATGTAACAGGTGTACATGTTTCAAGGAAACATCTATATTTCCAAGTGATGTATGCAGTTCCTGTTAATACGCGTGAAGTGTCTGTAAGTGGGAATTGAATTCTTAATCTTGGAAATGTTGGCACCATGCTTGACAAATTACTACACAGGAAGGGGGTGGTAGAACAAATGCTGCCTTTTGATCTACAAATATGTTTGTCCCGGTCTTAGATTAGATTGTTTCACCTCTGGGTGTAGTCATTAAAGTATAGCAGGACATGGGTGGCAGCAGAGCCACCAGTTAATCATCACATGTGTAATAAAGGAAACGGTAGAGCTGTTTTACACCTCTCCTTCATTCCTTCCACAGTGAGAGTAGCATGTTTGTCTCCAAGAGACGTTTCATTTTGAAGACGTGCGGAACCACCCTCTTACTGCAAGCACTGGTGCCTCTGCTGGAACTCGCCAGGGAGTACTGCGGTTTCGATGCCATCGAGGTAGGACACACACAGCCTTGACTATATGTAACAGCCTACCAAGCTAAATGCACATGTGATGAAATACAACATTTGACTTGGTTTCTGTAGCCATCACCTGATGCCCAAAGCTCTTCTCTCACATTTTGTGTCTTTATTTTGTTTTTTACAGAATTTCTTCTACTCCCGCAAGAACTTTATGAAGCCAACCCATCAAGAGTTCCCTCATCGAAACTTCCAGGAGGAAGTGGACTTTCTCAGCCAGATATTCCCAAGTGGGTAGCATTATATAATCTTAGCACCGCCCTCCTTTTAGTCGTTCCCATTTTTCCTTCCTGAAAAATGTCCAGAGAATGCATCTGAAACCAAAATGGTACTCCATATTTGAGATGGTTTCATGTAAATATTAACCATAAGGACAAGTAAAACAAATTCTTTTTGCTTCTTCTAGATGGCGCAGCCTACTGTATGGGACGTTTGAACTCTGACTGCTGGTAAGCATCAGTTTCCTGTACTGGTTGAATCGTCATGTGTTGTCACACGGTGTTGCTAGTATCAGTAGGTGTTTTTGTCGTAATGAATACTGAATTATGCTCTCCACTGATTTTTGTCCTTGGAAGATGTTTGTCTTTTTTTTTCTCCAAAGAAAAGGCCAAATAAAAAAAACACAAACACTAGATAAATGAAAAGGCAGCCAAAGATTGTAGAGGCTTCTGTGTTGTTGAGTTTCAGCCACAGCAGGATATTGCGCCATGACATTTGGATTTTAGCAGAGATAACCACTGTATCTAATTCAATCATGAGACTGGGGTAAAAAGGTCACTCCTGTTCTCTGGCTAATTCTGCCAGTATCAAAGCTCTTTCAGAACTTCCTGTACAGCAGTGGTCGGCAAAAGTCAGCAATAATATCTGGCCCATGGCCAGATTACTTAGGCAGCGGCCAAAATAAAAATGATAGCGGCTGGTGCTGAAACAGATCTCAGTCATGACAGCAAAAGTTAATACCATAATCACTTCCTCTTAAGGGATTGTGCCTACAAAATAAAAGCGCAAGATTGTTTTCGCAGCAGGACTTTATGTTCTGTTTAATTGAGAGCTTTTACTTTGAAAATATCTGAAGAAAATTCAGAAGAAGTCTCTGGCTTGCTTGACACACCTCTGGGAAAGCAGAGAGAACGTGAGATGCGATTCCTCTGACTGAGAAACACGGGAACTTCCTCTGCCTGGAGATACCGGGGACATGAAAATAAGCTCCATAAGTTAACGTGGACCAGTCACTGGGACGCACACACTCCTGCACATGCTTAACTGTGCTTGATGTAAAACGAGTTCTTCATGATCAATTTGTTGGGGGGGGGGGGGGTACTAGCAGCAAGCAGGGATTTAACACAACCCCTCAAACGGGAGTCCTGTGCACTACTGACTGAGCTAAGGAGGCGCACGGTACGTAATGGATCATTAATAATCAAATGACTGTGTTCTGGGCTGCCATCTAATGACTTGAAAAAATTTGGGCTGATGCCAGACTTATTTGCCGACCCCTGCTGTACGGTCTTGTCACGGTTAAACTCGGCGACGCTTTCTCCTGATTTGGTAACGGACCTTAATAATCGTTCACTGCCTGTCGCCCACAGGTACCTGTTTACCCTGGACTTACCAGAGTACTGGGAGAACAAGCATGCGGATCAGACGCTGGAAGTTCTGATGAGTGACCTCGATCCAGCCATTATGGACCAGTTCTATATGAAAGATGGTGTTTCTGCAAGTGATGTCACTCGTGTAAGTAGTTTCTGTTTCTGTCAACAGCACATGTAAGCTGTCCATTGTTGTGATGGGAACACGTTAAGGTTTGTAAAGAATTCAGTTGGTGGGCAGACATGGAGGGTCTAAAACATAAATCAGCGTTGACCTATTCTTCATTTCTTGCTGCAGATGAGTGGAATTCGTGACCTGATACCAGGTTCTGTGATCGATGCCACAATGTTCAACCCTTGTGGATACTCAATGAATGGAATGAAGACGGACGTGAGTGTGTTTAATCTGTTGCCTTTGTTGTGACAACGATGTAAACATCTCTAACGTGGCTCTGCATGTTGTCTTCTCCAGGGAACTTACTGGACCATCCACATCACCCCGGAGCCGGAGTTCTCCTACGTCAGCTTTGAAACCAACCTGTCCCAGACATCGTACGATGATCTGGTCAGGAAGGTGGTGGAGGTGTTCAAGCCAGGAAAATTTGTGACTACGCTTTTCGTCAATCAGGTATCGCTAAAATACATGCCTTCATTCATTCACAGTGATTTTTTTTTTGTTAATTTTGTTTGTCACAGAATAAACCCGTTTTTGTTTTTTCCCTCTCTGCTTCCATTTGCCCCTGCAGAGCTCCAAATGTCGCAGTGTCTTTTCTTCTGCCCAGAAACTCGAGGGCTACAAGCGTCTCGACCGCCAGTTGGCTCAATTCAACGACTATAATTTTGTCTTCACAAGCTACGCCCAGAACCGCCAGCAGAACCAGCAGAGCTGAGGGTTGAGAATGAAGAAGAGGCGTAAAAAGAAAGGCAGCCGCTCGGGGCTCTCCCCCTGCGGCTGGCTTCACCCCCCAGTAGAGAGCTTGTCGTCCTCCTGCCCCCCTCTCTACCCCCTCCTCTTCCCCTCCCTCTGCTGCCGTCGTCGTTCAGAATCTCCCGGTGCTGACGCGGTAGCGAGCCCTAGTTTAACCTCCAGTTTGAGTTGTTTGCATTGTTGTACCTGTGACTTAGATCTCTTGCATGACGGCTCTTTTCTCTGTTTCGATATTCTAGCTCACTCTTGCTGTGATCTTGAAGTGCATGTAGAGGAATTAAACACGCTCTGTTTGAGGCTGTCCACCTCTACCCAGTACAACGGTCCCTTCCTGCAGGTGTCCCCCCTCATCCCCCACAGACAAGGCTTCCGCCCGCACTAGGCCAGGGCCCTGACATGCTCAGATCAGTCTGCCCCTTAATCAGCTCAACTCAGCTTGTCCATTAAAATTCTCCACCTAATATGACAATTGGTATTTATGAATCGCAACCACTTCTTCAGCGCACTTAAAAACCTGTTTACTCATGGCAAAAGAAGACATTTTGTCTCAAGTTTCATTGAATGTATAAGTCGTGGTAAGCTTTTGGCCATTCCAAACATCGTCGGGACATTTTTTTTGAAGTTTCTCTGAAAACGAATGCCATACTTGATGTTTAATGTCGCACTATTGGATAAAATGTTTTCATTGGTCAATGGGCTCTTTGGTTGCTGTAAACTGCACTTAAGCAAAATACTTCCTGCTTTTGCTGGGCTTCGAAGCTGACCTGCATTCATCCATTTGTGCTCCTCCACCTCGACAATCACATACTGTAGTCTTGTTTCCCCCAAATAGACAGCCTTTAAAGTTGTATGCCTGGAAATCTATTTATGAATCATTATTGTTATAGCGGGCTGTGTCTATAGGAAGGTTCTATCCTATACACACCCGTCATATTCAGCACTCTTAATTTTCCACATTTACATGAATTTAAATGGAAAATGTTCAAACTGAATGTAGCACTAGCAGTGTAAAGCAGCGGCCTGCCCGCCCCCGCCCCCCCCTCCTGTCTTTCGAATGTACACATCTCTAGAGAAAAGCCTGGACCGGGTTTGAGCTGAATGTACGACTCCAGGAGAGCACACCCCCACCCTCCTCTACCCACACACATGCACACACAGCGTTCACAATGACCTCTGTCGACCAGCCATTGTCCAGCTCGCTGCAGGTCTCGCCCTGCCAGAGTCAGACTGTCAGCTGGCCCCAGAACCGTGACATGACGAGAGCTGGCCCTCCTGGCTGCGCCCGCTTTGAATGGGAAATAATGAATCAGACACTTTTTGCTTAGTTGCCCAGCAAAGCATTTTTCTTCTTCCCACATAATATCCATCCTCTCTCTGACTCTTTCCGCCCCATACAGAAATCTGTAGGCACACAATAGAGGCCCACCAGTCTGAGCATGCCAGGGTGATCCCGGATCATTCCACATGTAACTGCTGCATAAACTGCCATTTTATTAAATTTATTGTGCCCAGACATTTTTTGCAGTGAATTGGTCGAAAATGTGACACCCATAGCAGTTTTTCTTTTTGTTTGGATCAATGCCCTTTTTGTTCGTTGAGGGGGGGAAAATCCTGTGACACCATGGTGCATGTGACTACTAGTGCCGTGTTGCTTGACAGTGTAATGTAGCACCGTCTCTTCCTCCTCTTGTCAGTAATGTGCTTCACCTTCCTCTTGTTTTACCAGCTGAAAGTGTAGTTGCAACTACCGCATCCTGATGTGTTTTGGATAGGCGGGTACTCTTTCCTTTAGGGGCTGGTTCAACATGTAATCTTATTTCAAGTGCTGAATGCAGGTTAGGTTTCTTATTTATTACTTCATGAAACGTTTGTCAGACGCCCAATGTTTGTTCTCTCTGCCTGCCTGCCTTCAGTGGCGTTCACAGTGCTTCTCCTGCCAGAGAATGCAGTTTGAATTGGGGGAAGACGCGGCGGGAATCTAACCTGCTTTCAGCCCTTTTCTTTGATCTGCGATGATTGCATCAGCACCTGTAACAGTGCATTAATCACCTAAGGCATCTGTGAGCCAGTTGGAACAGTTCATCTTAGAACGAGCAGTGAAGTTGACACTTGGAATAGTTTCTCTCTAGTTTGTCTATCATGGCGTTTTGGAGTGGCTTCATTCTTTTCCTGAGGACCAATTTTCTGCTCTTGCATGAACTACTTTCAACTTGCTGTCAAATGACTTGGGTGATCTGCCGTGACTGTAATGGGTCCTTTTTTTTAAAAAAAATAAATAAAAAGTCACTCATTTAGGGGATTTAAACTGTTAAAAAAAAAAAATTTAAAAATACTGAAGCAGTTTAATGCTGACTGTTCCTAAAGTACATTTTAGCCTTGTTGGTGTGAATCATTGCTATTTTGTTTTATATTTTATACAGTGAACTCAAAATGCATTTTTGCAGTTGAATGGTAATAGAATTTTATACAAAAAATATTTTGTATTTTGCTGCGGACCAATATATATATTTCCCCCCCCCCTCTTGTCCAAATGTTTATTTTGTTGAACTAGTGTTCAAAGCAAGTGTGTTAAGGGATGACCTTTTCAAAGCTGACTAAATCATGTTTTTATTTCACTTTCCCTTCCTCTGTGACTCTTCTGAAATATTCCAGCGGAAGGGGAAGTAAAAGCCTCCCCTGGGTGACATGGGCGCAGTTGCAGGATCTATCAGGATGTACTGAAGGAGAAACTTTGCTGTTCTAATTCTTTCTTTTGCTGTTCTTTGGATGGTCAAGATGTGCTAAATATATCTGTGCTATGAGCTTGATGCTTCAATAAAAAAATATACTTATCCGTGCAACTGTGTTCTTTATTTGAATTTTTTTTTTTTTTCAGTCCAGAGCATTTAAGAGCAAAATTTGTAATTGGATGTAACCATAGACTTAAAAAAAAATAAAATGTATCAAGATAAAAAGCTCAACAGAATAAAAAATGATTAATCGTCAGTGCAGGTTGGTTTAGTCACCTCCAACACACAGGTCACTATGTTCACTTACAGTTGAAATCAGAAGTTTGCATACACTATATAACTCACTCACTTCCTCTTTTATGTCCGTTAGGATTACCAAAATTATTTATATTTGCTAAATGCCAGAATAATGAGAGAAGGATTTATTTGGTACCATTGCCTTTAAACTGTATGACTTGGGTCTTGAGGTGTTGCTTCAGTATTTCCACATAATGTTCTTAACTCATGATGCCATCTATTTTGTGAAGTGCACCAGTCCCTCCTGCAGCAAAACAACCCCACAACATGATGCTGCCACCCCCGTATTTCACAGTTGGGATGGTGTGCTCAGACTTGCAAGCTTCCCCCTTTTTCCTCCAAACGTAACGATGGTTATTATGGCCAAACAGTTCGATTTTAGTTTTGTTAAACCACAGGACATGTCTCAAAAAATGAAGGTCTTTGTCCCTGTGTGCATTTGCAAACTGTAATCTGGCTTTTTTGTTTCTTTTGGAGTAATGGCTTCTTCCTGGCAGAGTGGCCTTTTAGCCCATGTCGGTACAGTATCCGTTTCACTGAGGATAATGACACACTCTTACCAGCTTCAGCCAGCATCTTCACGAGGTCTTTTGCTTTTGTTCTTGGGTTGATATGCACATTTCAGACCAAAGCATGTTCATCAGTGGGACACCGAACCCGTCTCCTTCCTGAGCAGTATGATGGCTGGACATTCCCATGGTGTTTACACTTGCTTATAATTGTTGCACCCAAGGATGAACCAGACTTGTGCAAGCCCACAATTCTCTTCCTGATATCTTGGCTGATTTGTTTTGACTTTTGGGATGTTACACAAAGAGGCAGTGTGTTTCAGGTGTGCCTTAAAAAGCATCCACAGATGTGTCTCTAATTAACTCAAATGTTGTCAATACACCTTTCAGAAGCTTCCAAAGACATGACATCATCATCCGGGCTTTCCAAAATTGTTTAAAAGCATTGTAATCTTAGTGTATGTAAACTTCTGACTTTGAAGAAAGTAATGAAAAATGGTCATTATTCTGGCATTTAGCAAATATAAATAATTTTGGTAATCCTAACGGACATAAAACAGGAAGTGATTGTCTGATTTCATGTCAGACAGTGAGGAAAAAAGCATGTGTCTTTTATATAGTGTATGTAAACTTCTGGTTTCAACTGTACCTTCTGCCCTCACAAGCCTCCCTGGGGATCCTGCACAGAAGCAAAAAGTTCAATATTGGTCTCTCATCAGACCTCAGAAGCTTCTTCCAGCTGACTTCAGTCTTCAGGGAGACCAGGGTACCAGGGTCAATGTAATGAATATGCGAAATGATCCATCTGTGAAATTGCATGTTATATCTCATTTATTTAAAAGCCAAAGCTCTTTAGTTGCACAGTTGAGAGCTGGTGTTCCTCCTGTGGCCATTGAGGCCAGTCCATTCAAAAACGTTCAGGAGGAAAACTGATTGTGTGAGCTATGTGATTTATGAGAAGTGGAAAGTGAGTCCCATTTTTTTGTACTGTGATTTATGATGCGATAAAATGGCTCGACAAAACTGAAATATTCTGATGTACACATGATCAACAACTGGAATGGTTGTTGAATGTTGATAGAAGTTTGCTAACCCTGGAAAAGGAGGCAAGATGCTTTTGTCAATTATTTATGTATTTTGTTATAGACAAAGATTGTCTGATGATTTGATTGTTAAATATGTTGTTTCTCCATATTTTTTTATTGATTGAATGCAAATGCAGTTCTTTGGTCCTGGCTTATATGATCTCATTTTGTCTTACACAACTCTTCATCAGACCACAAGAAGTTCAGTTATGGGGTGCAACAGGGATCTGAGCTAGGCCCTTTCCTCTTTTCTATTTACATGTTGCCCCATGGTGTATTCCTCAACCGTTACAAACTAGGTTCCCATTTCTATGCAGATGATACATGGCTTTACATTTCCATTGAGCTGACACCTGTCATCGGCCGGTGAAACTGGAGAATGCAAATGAGAAATGATGTCATCTAACTTCCTTCTTGTCGTGAATAAGAGGAAAAAAATACCAAATGATAAAGAGGATCAGGTTTGACTTGTGTGAGAAATGGGAAATAAAAAGCAAAACAATGGAAGGTGGAAAGCCTGATTAATTGTCGCCCATTATAGAAATTACGCGGAAAAAATGTAGTTAAGATTCTACAAAACCAAACAAATAGGTATACCGGGTAAATAAACTTGTATTTATTTTCAATTTAACTCTTTTTAAAAAATCGTATTTAAATATCTTTTTATATTTCCCTACGTTGCTTTTATGTTTTATCTAAAGCAATTTGAATTGCCTTGTTGTTAAAATGTGCTATGCAAATAAACTTGCCTTGCCTTATCAATGCTATAAAAGTGAAATGCTAATTCTCAGACCAAAGCAGATTAACAATACATTTAGTGATCTCAGTATGAACACAGCTGTTTTTACAATTTCACATTGCCAAGATCCATTCCATTCTTTCCATGGCTGACGCTGAAACACTTGTTCATGCTTTTGTCTCATCTAAGCTTGACTATTGTAATCCACTCTCTGCCTTACCTAAACAGTTAGCAAACTACAACATGATACAGTGCAGAGCTTGATACAGTGTTTTCCTCTGAAATGTACTGGAGTAGAAGTATAAAGTACAGTATTGGAAAATGGTAATCCGCAAGTTAAGTACAAGTGCATCAAAATTGTACTGAAGGAAATAAGATCAGCCCCCAGATAATATCTTTACTCTGTTTTGGGAAATGTAGTTTTGGAAAAATAGTTAATACATACATTTCAGATGTTTACTCAGTGGTGGAAAATGTATTCAGATGTTGTATTTAGTAGTAGGAATACTAATACCTGAGGGTAGAATTGCTACAAGTAAAAGTCTTGCATTCAAAACATGGACTTAAAGTATCAAAAGTAAAATCACGTATTAGGCAGCAGAATGACCCCCATATGCAGTACTCAACACAGAGTGTGTTTGAGTGATTGGCACACTTTGAGCATTAGCATTAGCATTAGCCATTGGCTGGTGGACAAAAAAGTTAATTTTGCACCCCTACCAGAGTATATATCCTGTATGTAAAACCTTGATCCTAGTAAATGTAGCTTTTAAATAAACGTAGAGAGGTAACAGTTACAATATTTGGTACGGAAAAACTATAAAGTAGCATAACAAGTACCACAAAATTGTATTTAAGTACAGTACTTGAGTAAAGTTACTAAGTCACTTTCCACCACTACCAATACCAATTATACCAAACAATTGCTAAATAAATACACAAATGACTCACACGAGCTCCTAGCTCAAGAAAACAGAAAAAAGTCCCTGCACTGTGGTATTTACACTTGTTGGAAGTGAAGGGAAGAGCACACCATGCAATCACCACTGTAGGGCCAAAACTCATTAACCTCACCAAAACACTAATGTTGGAGTTGCTGTCCAATACTTCAAGTCCTCAGTCATCCAGGTCATGGTTTTTCGAGGAAGGTTAAAATCAAGAGTAATTGGACTAGGATGAAGACAAGACGTTTTACCTCTCTTCCAAGGAGCTTGGCAGGGAATCCCCACCTGTGGTGTCCTTATCAAGGTGATGTGAAGTTGTCTTTTGAAAAGTGATCTATAAATGAAGATTATTATTTTTATTATTACTTTCACGTGAGGTCAGATTAGTTTGTTTATACCCCACTGTTTACCTTATTATCCCTCTGTGTTTCATTTTCATGTAGTAAGACATGCTACCACCTGATGGACATCACATTACATTACATTTCCTTTTATCCAAAGCGTACATTTGAGGAACAACACACAAGCATCAAAAAAGCATCAATACAGTAAGAGATCTCCATGTGACAATAGATACTAGTAAGAGCAGCAACAAATATTTGTAAGAGCTATTACTGCGTATGACATCAATGGGATTTTTGATGGTTAGGTTGATTGGTGACCCTAAATTGTCCTTGGGTGTGAGTGTGAGCGTGAGTGGTTGTTCGTCTATGTGTGGCCCTGCGATGGACTGGTGACCTGTACCCCGCCTTGCGCCCGATGTCAGCTGGGATTGGCTCCAGCCCAATGCAGGATAAGCGGTTGACGATGGATGGATGGATGGACGACAAATAAAACTCAATCAGCAACAGCAAACTACTTTCTTAAAAGAGAAAGCAAGTATGTAACAAGATTTAACTGAAAACACAACACTGAACACTTAGCTTAGGGAAACACTTTTAACACGCTCCATCCTCCAAGGGAGTAAACACGAGCCTACTGCTCCACACTGCTGTCTGACCCTAATTGGTCCACTGACCACATAGGTGTCACTTACACTGGGGACGCTGATGACATGTCCCCACTACATTCTGAAATGGCTGATTTTGTCCACATCACTTTTTGAAAGCATTTGTTAAAAGTGTTCTGAAAAATAGTTTGCAGCAAGAAATGTTAACTAACAAATGAAAACGTGCAATGCAATACAGTTTTCCCTCATATAAAACAGACATTTCCACCATAAATTGGAGCAGAAAATGTCTCCAGAATGCAGAAAATTACGAGTTTAATGCTCAAAATCTTCTGGGGGAGGACCCAGAGACCCCCCTCACATATATTTCTGCATCAAATATTTTATCTAAATAGTGCTAAAAATCTTCTTGTCTTGTTCTCGTGCCAGAGATGCTCACAAGTCTTTGAGCTGGAGTCAAGTCTCTCGTGGTTATTACGAATGTTGTATCAACTGCTACGTTCAATCCAGGCTGCTTATAAAACTGCATAGCTATAAGGTATACTGTAACTGTAACCTGTTTTTCACTTACAGAGCACAACCATGTAA